TGTGATAATATTCTGTGGAATAATCTCTAAGCTAGGCAGATCCGAAGGAATAATTCATAAGCACAGACATATCCAACAAACGTAAAAAAAAGATCCTAAATAATTTGTTTTTTTTTCTCATCGTGTTACTGCCACCTAGTCTGGGGCAATACATCTTACCCGAATTTAAATAAAATACATTTATTCCAAAAAATGATAAGGATATTCGTAAATGTTTCCTACGTTCATCATACGCAATCACCGTGTCAATTTATCAAAAAACGTAACATACACCAAATTTTAATTATAACTTAACAATCGCTTATAAGAGTGCGGCATATGCATTATCTAGTACAATTCGTGATTTATTTGATTTGAAAGCAATGAAACTAAATAATATTCATCGAGACATCACCAACCTTGCAATATTTTGAAGTGACGAAAAAACTATAAAAAATAGAAAATAATTTATTCCTTACCTTTTTTTGGACCGGGTTATTTTGATACAAATAGAGATGCCACGCAAATATCTAACTGTTTCCTTAAATTGTTCATTTTATACGTAAGAACAGGTGCACACATTTTACTGAACGCGTTTCATAACGTACTTTGTCGCTGCTGATGATTGGGGGACCCAGATGTTGTAGCGTGCTGATTGAGTTATCGCGAGTGAGTCATCGCGGAAGCGCCGCCCGGCTCGTGACGTCATGTCTGTGATAAAAACGCTGCGCTCAGGAATAAAGCACTTCTTGTTCGTCAGCGTGCCATGGTCTACAGTCACTTCACCAGAGATCGGTCAAGCTGCATTCCTTCAGCTTTTTCTTCGGCCTCCAATTCACCACATGTAACTGTGTGGTGAATCAATAAACTTTGAGTCTTCGTATCATAAGTGCAAAGAATGTCACACAAGTGACTATGGCATCAAGAAACTGCAGCTCGTTCTTCAGAAACAGTGATCCCAGGAATATAAAGACTTTTCTGTAACATAGACAGCTCACTCTGACCACTTCTATAGTCATCGCCAGCAGCAGATGCTTCCTGTAACATGCAGATCTTGTAAGTGGCAACTGTGCTTCAACCGTACTCACTGCACAAGTGTACATGCGATACCTCGGTACGACAAACCATTTTTAGAACACTTTAAAATAAAATTGTGCATTGAGTATATTCCTGGAAACATTATACTTACATGTGAACATAAGCAGCGTATTTAGCTTTCTAGAAATATACGATTATGCTACTTCATACTTAAGAAAGCAACAAATAGAACCTTTGAGAGACTTACTTGTTGGAGCACATTTTTATTATTTCTAAGAGTATATCAACGGGAATATAAAAGCAGGAAAGGGGTCACGATAGCTAATACCTCCACTATCTTCGTCTATTAAAACAACACACACTTGACGTGATTTGTACAACTTAAAAAAAAAAATATTTGTTTGTTGTTGATTTTTGGCCAGAACCCCTACCCGCAGGTGCTGCACCTTACAATCCCCGTGAGCCAATCGCTAAAGCTTCTGCCTAAGCAAGAAAAAAAAAGGAAAAAAAAAAACTGCTCAAAAATTTAAATTGCTGCTAGGCGGAGAGTGCTCCTGTGAACAACGACCAAGCCCGTCCTGCTATGAGCTCGCTCGAGGAAGTGCATACATTCCCAGAAATAGGGGGTGTAGAGGGTTACATCCCTTGTCCCATATGTAACCCCACAAAATTATATTTCGTTGTTTCGTCCACTGACATTGAGCTGGGGGGTACCAACTTTTGCGAGCGGTTGATCGCTGTTAGATACAGCGTACTAAAAAAAATCACCTCGTCTCCACGTGGTGAATGATGGTGATTGGGGCGAAGCTCTGGTGGTGCTTGTCTGCGTAGACGCTGAGCCGCAGCATGCCGAGCCTTTCGTTCGTTTTCATCCATGTCAGAAAGAGAACGTGTGGTATAGAACGTGGTTATATACGCATTTGAGCATTTGACCGCAGCGCCCTCTCGTCTATAAAGGTTGAGCCAATGCACGCAAAGTTTAACGCGATTATATACGCATTTGACCGCAGCGCCCTCTCCTGTATAGACGTTGAGCGGCTACATGCAACGTTTCATCCATGACATCCCCAGCTCTTGAGTTACTACCACATCTCAGAGCCCCGTAGGCGTCCCGATGGACTAGAAATCCATTAGGTTCTCTCCGCACAAGTTCGAATCCTGTCGACTGCGCAAAAAAATGTCTTTTTTTCATTTTTTCCTTTACACGAGCACGTGAGCACGTGTTCACGTGCTTGTGAGCACGTGTTCACGTGCTTGTGAGCACGTGAGCATGTGAGCTCACGAGCACGAGCACAAGCAATATCGATGTGAGCACGGACGCCGGACGGACAAGGCTGGACCCTAAAGGTGTATCCACACGACGGACCAAATTGCTGTTTTGGTCCGCGGGCCGCGCATCACGTGATCTTACGTCACCGCTTTTCGAGGTCCGCCGGCGGTCCGCGGCCCGCGCTTGTGAGAAATGCCAAGCCAGTTTTCTCGCCCGGACCTTGGCGGCGGACCGCGGCGTTTTTAGTATAATGATTGCTAAGTCTGGCAACAAGCTGACTTTTGTTGTTTAGATTGGAATCCAAATCCAAAATCGTGTTCTTTTGGTGCCAACTGTTGAAGACGAAGAAGACAAACCCGTTGTTGTGCGACGATGGCGGCATGGTGCGACGATGCAACTTTTTACTTCATCGCGCTCGTGGAGCAATTCCCCGCTCTGTGGGACAATAGATGCATGCCCTTTTCGGTTCACTATGTCCTCCTCGTCCTCAATAGTCAACGCCAGTGCCACCGTGGCCAAAAGTCACTTTCGTTCAACCTCCATCTTGGCTCCTTACAAATAGCCTCAAAGCAGCTCGTTGCATGCGTTTGGCGGAGCTGTGAGGTCGAGGGTTAGACCGGCCCGTTCACTCTGTCGTCTGCTCTTTTGGTCCGCCGTGTGGATGCTCATTACAGCCGGGCGGCCCGCGGGCCGCGCATCACGTGATCTATCGGTCCGCGGCCCGGTCCGTCGTGTGGATACACCTTAAGGAGCTTCGCCCCTAATAGCTAATGTGCGTATCAAAAACTAGAAATCAAAATTGCTGAGGTTTTGCAGCAGGGCAAGAAAAACTAGTATTGTCTTACCGTAGCCTCTAATGAGTACATTAGCTGTTTTAATCAGTTGTATCACTCGACTATCAAGCCGCTCCTAAAAGTTGGTATCGTCAGCTCGACGTCGGTGGACAGAACGTCGGACTATAGTTTTGGGGAGTTACATATGGGACAAGGGGAGCACCCTTGTACACCCCCTTTTTTGAGAGTGTATGTGGTGCTGCGACGACCCACATGCGCAAAACGAATACTAGGCGGCCCTTCCTCCCTCTACGATTTTTTGCGTGCTTGCGTTCACCTAGCAGGTTGCCCTCTCATCAGAGTTATGTCCCTCCAAAACGTGTTTTCTGAGGTTCCGGTGCTATGATAGACAGCTGCACATTTGTCCCCGGGGCTTTTAAAAACGCCCGTATGGCAGCACATGACTCGCTGTTCCTCCCCTGCCACCGAAAATTCTTGAGACGATCGTCTGGCATGGTGTGAAATGTAAAATTGTTTCTGGAAATAATCACTTCGCTTTTGTTTTATTTGAAAATCCCATAACATGTGTCAAGCGGTGCAGACGAGAGTTCGATTCGCGAGCCTGTAAAGGAATTTCGAGAACCGAGTTAATTTAAACTGGCATTTAGGTCAAATGGCACTGAAGTTGCCATGTGGCACTGCCTAAATGACACTTGCGTTGAATGATCTTGCCTCAAGTGGCATTTCAGGCACCGTCTGACAGAGGTATTATATTGGCCAGGAACGCTTTCAGTTCAACGCAGCTCCATAGCGATCTTGGCGCTGCTGTTCAAAACGACCCTTTCGAAGCTTTAAAGATTTGAAAGGACCCAAATGGCGATCGCCATGGCGACAGAGACTGATCAGCTATGCAATCACCTTGCGAAGTTCTGGTCGTCTGTACGTTGATATATGTTTGCGTCTTGTTAGCAGGGGGAGGAAGGCTACCTTCCCAGGATCAAGTGCCATTAGGATCCACTGCTCCTAAACGAATTCATGTTGGTATGAGAAATCTGAGATAACTGCCTCGGCATTAAGTGGTGTACGATGAGGCTGGGTACAGCCTGTATGAGGCACGAAATATCTGAATATGGAACGTCCTTGCAATATGAAGTGTCTTGTGATGAAACGTCCGGGGGTGAGGATTTTTGTGCAAAATGTCCGCGATGAATTGTTCCGGATTAAAGTGCCTTGGTGTGAAGTGAGCGGGACCCCCCCCCCCCCCCCCATTTCCCCCCTTCCTCTTGTAAGTCACGCTGTTCGCAATTTAGTTAAAAAACAAATTGGACGTTATAAATGGAATCAATTTTGACAAGGTCATTTCCCATATGGCGTAAGGGAGTGTCAATGTTTATTCGATTCGATATTGTAGCTAGGATATCCAGAGGGCAACGTGATGGTAGGTCGAAAGTATTTTTCTACCGCTGAACGAAGAATCATCTGGCTTAGAAGCGACCGAAATATGATCATGAAGATTACGCCGATTAAGCTGGAGCTGGTTCCCTGCTTGGGAGTCTACTTTGAAAGAAACATAACCTACGCAGCCGCGTTTTCATAGCTCTTGTCATTAATTCAAATTGTGGTGGTCTGAAAACATGAACATACCGGACAGAACTTCTAACATTTTTTGACACAATCAGAATGTTTATTTATCTAAGTAGAAAGTAGCTGGAATCTCACCAGGATTCGAGGTGCCAATATTTAACAATCAAATAAATACGTTTTAGATTAGTTTTGAAGATAGCCCTTTGATTATAAAACAAACATTAAAAAAGAACTATGGTGCTTTCGAGCAAGGTGTCGCGCTATGTACCTAGTAAATGTTTGTATAACTGTTGATAACCTTCTGCGTTTGTATTAGTGGTGCTAGTAAGACAAAAAAAAAATCAGCCATAAGACCGTAACGGTGAAACATTTTTATTTTGCGACAACAACCTAAGCGTGTAAATTCGATATCCACATCTTTCCAAACAAAATACGTCACTGCTGACATCGTGATCACGCTTATTGTGCCCCGCAGTGTATATCAACGGTTTGTGACAGAGATTACATCGAACGATCGGGATCGCTAACTGCCTATCAATGGGGATTCGCTAACGCCAAGGAGCTTTCTTTCATCTGTCATAATGTTAGATAGAGAACAACGTATTATTTGTTCCTTGCTTTTCACATGTTCTACACACCAAAAAAAGCAGTAGAAAGACTGGTAAGTTTAAGATATAGATAAACTGAAGCTTCAATCATTTTTACCGCCACCACCGTCGTTCGCTAGACTTTCAATGCTTGCTTACACCGCTGTCGACTGCAAAGCTAAAAAGACAGATGTTAAAGTTCTAGTGCAGGACAGTAGTAGCAGTAAAATATATTCGAAGTGTATCGAATAAGATCCATAGCGGTGAACGATTGTGGAAGATAGGTCGGATAAAGAAGCGTTTACTGAAACCCAAAGAAAAAATCCAAAGTGAATCAAATAAAAAACAAAACAAAAAACAAATGCAACGTTACATAGATCAAATATTTTCAAGCGGACCCAGATATATTCGTTACAAATATATCCAGCACTTATTTGGAAATAAGTGGTGGATGAATGGCGCACGCATCCGCTATCAGATTTATAGTGTAGCTCTGTGGAATAGCAACAAACCTCGCAGCGCGAACCTTGACAGCAATATCAGCACGTGAACGAAGGAAATGACAATGCAGCGACTACATTTTAGGCCGCTTTTGAACATGTAGGAAAAAGAGATCCAAGGCGTAACTGGAGCCTTCGGGAGTCCGACGGCAGCCGTCCAGGAGCCTTGCCGACAGCACTTTCTTCATGCGATCCTTGTCCTCCTCAGTAGTGCCAGTCTTCACGGTGACAAGGGGGAGAAGCAGGGCTGCGCGAGAAAGACGAGAAAACCTTCCCAAACTTGCGGTCACCTTAAGTAGCAACACAACACAGCCGTCAATGATTGGCTGCCAGGGGGCGCCTGCGAATTCTTGAGTGTCTATGGAATTTATGTCCGCTCACTCTTCACCCTTAAGATGCCACAGGAAGATGTTCACGAGGATGGAGGCGTTAGCCAATGTTGATCGACAGTGCAACGCTCCAGGGTAAGTGCACCAGCACTTAGAAAGGGTCTACAATTGGAGGATTTTACTTTTATATTGTTTAATCCGCTTTTTGGCTGGTGGCCTCAGACCCAAGATAAGCTGAATGCCCTGCGATCTTGGCAGTGACAGAGCAGCAGTTGTGGTTTCAGCACAGACTCCTGTTCATCTGCTGGTGCATATGCAGTCGGGTATTCCATGCTAACAACAGGAACCACGCGCTGGGACGCCGCGACGACAGTGGCATCTGTGTTCGCTCAATTTAATAAACAATCTGTTTCATAACCAAAATTTAAAAAAAACGAAAAAAAAAACGTTGTGGTTGGACGTCACGCTATACCGTCTCTCTACGAAACATTGTCAGAAAGAAGCTCTCGCCATAAAACACCGTAACAAAGACCCCTCCTTCGTTCGCAAACTTTGCGGACTTACGCTACATTTTGCGGGAAGATGTAAGTTCAGCTAAACTTGGCGGACTGTGTTGTTTCACGCCGTATTATATCATGGTGTTGCGTCACGTGACGCTCTTTTTGTGTAACGCTAGTACAGTCCAACTCAAAACAAGCGTCTGCCTTCCGACGTTGTCTCGAGGAATAAGTTTAAGCATTACTTTTCCGTCGGCCCTTCATCGACTGAATGCAAGGACTGCCGCAACCCGTAGCTTTCTCCACGAGCACATACAACGTATGCTTGACCCTGTTACAGGAATACTACGACACACAGGTTATATAGCTAGTACGCTAAATATCCTAGTAAGTCACGTGTTCCAGTAACTTTAGGCATGCTGTCATTACTAAGGTCATGCCTGGCTAAACGATTCCCCTTTAAGGGTGTACACGACGTTAGGGAATTTGATGGAAATTAGGATAGCGATCAAGAAGAAATGTTTTTGAGCGAAAGACGTGCTTTCAGAATGCACTTGGAGAAGCAAATAATGTTTCAAATTAGATTCCGAGAAAGTACCAAAATGGTTCCAATTAAAACGTAGAGAAGGCATTTCGATCATCGGTGCAATTAAAACCAAATTAAAAGGCAAAGGAGCTTTTATAAAGAAGTTTCAGTCTCTCCAGGTAGCATTGGTCAAAGTGGCGATGAAGGCGAGTTGGGTGATTCTTATACAGATTGCTAATAGAGCGCGCAATAAACAAGGACAGCGATGGGAAGTAGACAGGATAAGTTGAAGTTCAGCGCTCATCCCGTATACTGCCCACCTCTTTACTCTTTTATTGGGTGATATATCGCCAGTAGGTAACTTTAGAACGGGTTGTTTTGGGAACGAACTCTCGAGCTTTTTAAAAATATTTCCACCTCTCGAGCGAAAAATTTGTGAAAGGTACAATCGGCTGCGGTATGTGCAGACCCAGCTTCGTGCTGACCGAAAGCAGTCAAATGCCGCATGAGGTGTTTCCAGCGTGGTAAGCTATGAAATTGACTGCCAGATTGCTGCAATCGCAAATCTGACAGTCCGTTTCATTTACATTTTTGGATTCACAGACGCGGGATTTTCTACATGGCTCTCGGGCTGCCCCGGCCTGCGCGGCGCAGGTCGAGCTCTTCTTTGCCTTAACCTGCACATAATAGCACTTGGCGACGTAGCATAATGGCACTTGGCGATTAACTTAGATTCCGCGAGACTTGTGTAGCAACCAGTTACGTCGGTAGAGATTAAGTACGCACATAAAACTTACAATGATCAGCTCGCTTGAGCGAAAACACACAATAATAAAATGGCAGCCCGCTGGCTTCATAGACGGACGACGATTACTCCACTAAAGCAGAGAAACACTCGTTAATTGTTTTAAAGCGCAGCTCTTACGCGCTCGTTCCTTCGATTCGCGGCGTCGGCGTCGCCGTCGCCGTTGGCGTAACCGCGCGCGTTGCATTATGGGACGTCACAGACCTATACACCAATTCAATTCCCCGCTAAATTTAGCTATAAAACCGCAATTTAGCGGGGAAACTTTGGAAGGAAGGGAGGGTATGGAGGAGGAGGAGGAGGAGGAGAGGGGGAGGGAGAAGACGCTCTTCAAATCCCTCCCCCTCCTTCCCCGCCCTCTTCCTCCTTTTATAGATAATATTATAAGAAATTACTAATATGTATATATGTATATACGTATATATGTATGTGTGTATGTGTGTATGTGTGTGTTCGTGTGTGTGTGCGTGTGTGTGCGCGCGCGCACCGGGTTTTTTTTTTCTTTTTTTTAACTTGACAGATGTTTTAAAAAGCCGCGAATGTAACACATATGTGGTTTGTGCAGGTGAGTTATACGACCAGGGATACAGAGTGCAGGTGGCTGATCGGAGCAATCAGAAGGATAATTAAATAAAATTTGTTAATTAACTTTTTAATTACTGATAATAGACATATGGCACCAATTAGCAAGTTGCTGAGTGTCATTGAAAACTACTAAATGAACTCTTTTTAGAAGGATATGGGAGTACGAGATCTATATTTGTATATATATAGGTATTTCTACCTCAAATGTTTTAGCACGGTACATCGCAAAATCAAAATACCTCAAGAGCTGCGCTTTAATTTCACATTACAGAGATTTGTAAACGTCTTCCTAATTTTGTTTGTACGAACAAAAGTATTTGCTTAGTTACTTCAAATTATTTGTTACCGAGTAGATCGTCATCGTTGCGGAAGTAGCTTCTTGTTGGGTAGACCTCGCAAGCGATCGTCGACATCCCGGCGTCCTCCACTAGACTTCTCACAGTTCTCTCGAGAGCGGACAAACTCGGAGGCGGCTCGCCACACCAGGTGTCTGCAAAAGTATCCCTTGGGTCCTGCACATGAAATGAAATTAAACGGTTATGTTGATGCACATACCGATATATGATTTCTATCTGAGTGAATATCGGTCACATCTTAAAACTCGCAAACAATTTTACATTCGAACTCAAACGTCGGTTAGCAGCAGAGTGGAGAATACAAATCAATATTACTTAAATCATGATATAAATCATGATTTTAGTCGTTATTCAAATATGACAAGATTTACTCTAATTTAAATCGAACCTTTTCCGTAAATATAATCCCGATAACATTCTGTCGTTTGCTGTCTGTCTACCGATTGATTCTTCCTATGTACGTTTGTTTTTATTTTTACAAGTAAACCCTCCGCAAGAAGACTTTAAATAGAACTAAACACAAGAAAATGAAGTGCTCTTCGAAAAAAATTTTAACCTTGACCTTTATTACGACCTCACACTTCGTTGGTCAGTTACGAAGCTTTCTACTACAACAAAATCAAAACGTAAAGAAAGGAAAAATATAAAAGCAATGTTTTACTGCACATAGGTCAGAACACAAACGAAAAATAAAATAAAATAAAAATAAAATGTTTTAGAATGAGACGGATGTCACCAATTCGACGTTGTTAATTAAACGTCTTTATTGTAATAGTAGGCCGGTTTCATTTGAAATCGAATAGGCTTGCTTAGGTGGGTATTTTGATTTGCATCCTGGATTATAAATTATACCCTATTTCCGCAAGAAAAAAAAACACATTTGAACTTTTGTTTACACCAAAAGAAGGTTTTTCTACGAAAGTTTTCAAGTGAAGAAACAAAAACAAAATACAGCATTTAGGCTGCTCGATTTTCGTACCCAGTTCTGTCGGTTGTCATAAGTACGTGAAAACAAGAACACTCCCAATTATCTCTCATATAAATGTATGATGCATAGCCTTTCATCCTAGAAATTAAACTGCTTTGGCGTCTTTGAAGACAGAGATAAAAAAAGTCAAACCTCGAATCTAAAACCTTCTGGTGACATAGTTTTTCCCTCCTTTCTTACAATTTATCATGCCTTTTGCTTAGTATATACAATACGCATGTAGGCCTCTATATGTCCTATTGACTTGAACCACTTTAACTTAATTTATTTTCAGGGAATAATTTATATTACATGGTAAATTTCGTAAATTTTTATACAACAATAATATGAAGTTCCTTTATTAAAAGTACAATTTGTAATTGTTTATTAGTTTTCCGATTGTTTTAAAATATGTTAGCTTTTTGTGGGCATAATCAAACTTCCCCATTTTGCTCTGCTTTCTCTAGAAGTGTTGAGGCATAGATGCATGCACCTGAAGCGGCAGAGGGGTATTTTCGAGCGTTGGCTCTTCTGCAAGTTTTTTTGGCCTCTAAATGCTAAGGGCAGGGAGATGGAAGTGTTTGGGATGTGAAGGGACAACGGAAAGTGGTTAGTAGAAAGGGGATAGCGAGGAGAGTGTGCTACGCGCCCCCGTAGGCACACTTGTCTGCCATTGCTCCGCTGTTTCAACGCCACAAGCTACGCATGCCTTTTTTTTTGTATGCGTCTGTTGGGGTAGGACATTTTAGTTAGGACATTTAAGTTCGGCTGCATATTTTTTCTCTAGTTAGTTTATAGTATATATATACAGTGTGTTTCACGAAAGATGAAGCAATTCGATATTGCGAAAACTACGAATCGCACCAAAAAAGGCTCGTTTCGGTCCGAGGCCAGGGGCCCGTTCAAAAAAAATTATTAAATTTCGGGATAATTAAGATGTCAAAAAAGTTTGCGTTATTAATTTTTGAAATATTAAGCTAAGGGCATGGTATCAATTAGAATCTTGCTGAGGATCATTGAAGAACTTTAAATCAACAATTGCAGAATGGTAGAAAGAACGCGCGGTATTTTATAGCTTTCTGAGAAACCGCGCAACTTCGAATGATTTTTAAGTTTCGGTTTGCAATCGGAGCGTTTCTCGGAACGGACTGCACGGCGCCCCGTAGAGAAATAGTGCAGCCAGCCTCTGCTGCGTTGCGCGAGGACAGCGCAGCAGAGGTTGGTTGCACTATTTCTCCACGGAGTGCGCTGCCGTCGGTGTCGAGAAGCGCTCCGATTACAAACCAAAACTTAAAAACCCGTCAAAGTTGTGCGGTTTTTCAAAAAGCCGTAATAAATATAAATATATGCTGTTGCTTTTTTTTTCATCACGTCTCAATTTTAATGAGAACTTAAAGAGTGAAAGCGAGCTGGTTAAACGACCGTGTTTTTTTTCCCGTCTTTTCTCAGGGTTTTCAACTATGTCCCTATCTACGTTGTTAAAAACATAAGACGATCTGAGACTGGCAGTCTTTGCGTTAAATCGATCCTTACAGCCCTCTGCTCGAGCTTTTAATGCGAGAGCATTTTTCAAGGGGCACTCACGCCCCAAAGGTCGAATCTTTTATATTTTTGTCTGAAATGATGCATGTTGCAGGTCTTCAATGTCCCTCTTTTGTTATCGTAAATTTGAAACCAACAGAATCAAACTCCTACAAAAAAATCGCACAACGCGAAAAAAATTTTTCCACGCGCGCGTCAGCCTTTTGACCACAAAATGTAGCGGAACATTCGACGTCAAGTGACCTATGCATCAATTCAGTTTCCCCGCTAAGTTCAGCGGGATATTTGATGTCACGATCTATGCAGCAATTCAGTTTCCCCGCTAAATTCAGCGGTGAAAATTGACGTCGCAACCTATGCACCAATTCAGTGTACCCGCTAAATTTTGCGGGAAGATTGACGTCATGAACCATGCACCAATTCAGTTTCCTTGCAGAATTTGGCGGGAAAATTGAGGTCCCGTGGACTGATATCACGGGACATAAACACAAATTCAGGTTCCCCGCTAAATTTAGCGGGCCCCATAACAAAAGGTGGTAAACATGACGAATGCTATCGCAAATCATAGATAACCCACAATAGTGGTATCTGCAGCCATTTTTTTACATTCCAAGCAGTTTGTGTCCAGTTTTATTAATAGCAGCAGTTCGTATATTTGATGAAGTCTAGTTGCGATTGTCGGCAAAAACACACGATATATCAAAAAATGATCTTGCTTTTTCAAAAAAAAAAAAAAGCATCTCGACGTGAATCTGCCCATGTCAGCTTTGCCCCCTCACAGGGCTGCTGAAATGAGCTTGCAAACAGGATTTGGACAGAATTGCGTCGCACGCCATGATAAAACTGCGTGCAATACGAGTAAGTTGAGCTCAAGTTTGTGCCGAAGTGTAGTTTTCAAGCGTGATATGATCAGCGGCGTTAATAACGGAGTCCTTGGTGGCGGACAAAACACGACTCCACGGAGTTTCCAGTCGGTGTATAACACAAATTTGGAACATTCAGATTTAGAAAACAGGTAAAACAACCTAGAACTCCTATTCAGTCGAAATGTTTTTAGGAATAAGCTTGAGTTGAGCTAATTGTTGTGTGATGCTAGGATATGGCCAGCTTGGACTTAAAATGGGAATCCGTGAAAGTACAGAGATTGAAAAAATACAAATATTTCCGTGAAAGTACAGAGATTAAAAAAAATACACAAATATTTCTGAAATACCAACTGTGGTTTAATGCCTCTTCCCCTCCGTGTGCCTCGACTATCTACATCTTTTTCTCTCTAAGAGCTCTGCATGCAATTTAGTTTAATATTACCCGCATTTCAGCGGGACCTAAAACACCGCCAATATTGTTTTACTTTTGTGCTTAGCTTGATGGAAGGCACGCTGCCTCATGTTGCTTCGTTTTCTTGGATGACCATAGTTTTAAGCATCTGTTGGGCATAAGTGCTTTTATTTCTTGCGAGGATAGAGGTACTGTTTAAAGCTGCAATGTATAATAGATAGGACAATGAGCGGGCAGATGACCTGTTGCATTTCCCTTGAAAGATGCTGCGGGCTGTCTTGTCCTATGATTTACGAGCCTGTCAATCTTCCCGATCTAACATTTGCTGCATGATAGGGGAATGTTATAATCTTAGTGACACACGGAGCATATTATGTCTTGTGAGAAATATTGCACATTTCCTTTGGGTTGGTATTGCAGTTTACTTTGAGGCATATATAATACGCCTAGTTTGGAGCAGATCACACGATTTTGATGTCCTGTCTCATGGTTATTTTTAATTGTCGGCTATGCAATGAATACGGAATTTTAATGTTATTTTTGTTTAGTTTTGTTGTTCTGTGCTCCATTTTTGAGCAGATCTTTTTACACAGACAAGCCAGGAGATCAATCGGATACACAGAATTAAGTAGGCGGGGAATTTTATTTTCAAGACTTTCCAAATATTGTGGTGAGAATATTTGTTTAAGGCCTATGAAGGAGTGGTGTTGGCAACACTTTGTTTTATAGTTTTGAAATATCTAGATGCAAATGGCAGAAGTCTTTTCGTTTACCTTGGCTCGTACTTCCAACATACCTGTACCTCTTTGGATTCCAGTCTGAGGTCGAGGAAATTGATGGACCTAGTTACGGGTAGTTCACGTGTAAACAGCAATTCTGGGTAGCTTCCTTGAAAGCACTGTGGAACCTTTTCTTGAATCCACTCACACCAATAAAATAGAGCGCAAGATGCCGAAGAATATGAAGTAATGAAGTAGAACTTGAAAGGCGTTGTTTGTGTTTTAAATCATTTAGTCAGTCAACGTTTTGGCCAGAGTCAGGCACACAGATATACATATATATAAGGAAAAATACGAATTTGAAAAAGGAGGGAATTAGCGGAGCGATACAGATCCTCCACTAATTTGCAGCTGAACTAAAAAAAATGCACGTATGGTGCTCGGGAAATTCAAGTTTTGGCTCACCAAGCCAGCTCAGAAGGCATCCACCCAGACCCCAACAAAGTCCAAGTGGTCGCTGACTTCCCCATTTTCAGAACCACAAGAGACATCCGGGCTTTCCATGGACTCTGCACATACTTCCGGAAATTAATCCCTCGATTCTCGGATCTCGCCAGACCACTAAACGAGCTGCTTCAAAATAACACTAC